AATCCAAAGCCCTAAGCCAGGCAAAACTTAGACCTTCGGAACTTGGGCTTGATCCTCAGCGCGGGTCAAATCACTATCGGCCTGAGCAAGGTGCCTTACCTATACACTGGAACATACTCCCCAAATACCCTTGCATAATCCCCATATAGCCCCACGTCATCTTCATTTTTTCTTGCAAAATAAAGACCCCATCGGGTTGAGTTTAAGGTTTAGGGCTTGGGGTATCCCTAAAAGGGGCCAAAATCTGTCAACCGATTTTTCAGTGGAGAACCGGCACTCAGGGTCTAGGGTTTCAGGGGTTCAGGGTTTAGGTTTTCAGGGGTTTAGGGTCAAGGGTTTCAGGGGCTCCAAATCCCAGAAGGTACAAGCCCAGGTAGTTGTCAACAGTTTCCCTTGCAATGCTAGTCAGTCATAGTAGGAAATACACCCCAGACGTGATTGTAGTTCTTGTAGTTATCATGGGCCCCTACATTACCAGTCCCCTCCCTGAACATTGAAACCTCATCAAATCTTTCCACCATGGTATACTATAATACGCAGGGAATATTTAACAGCAGAGGTGGTGGGGGATTTTGATATCGACCTTATGTACTCCCTACATACAGCCCTAGTTTCCTTTTCATGTTCCATTATCAGCCATTATCCTGTGTGATTCTCCATTGGTGGGGTAATTTCCCTGAAGTCCATATAGTCCCTATTCAACCCTATGACACTAGAGGAGGGGACTAAACACCCTAAACCTGAAACCCTAAGTCTGAAACCCTAAACCTGAAACCATAAGCCCTAAACCAGGTGCTGACCAGTGTTTTGACCGTAGATCTTCCTGCTTCTCGCTGCCTGGTGTTGGGTCTTCTTCTGACACTGGGTACTTGAAATTGTGTCCCTGTAAAGGTTTGAGGGTTTAGGGGGCTGAGGGTGGGTACTGAAAGTTGGTTTCCTTTGAAGGAGTTGTAGCTACGTGCAGGTTAGGCTTTAGGATGGGTCTGGGGTCATTGTCGGAAAGTGTCGTAAGTCAGCGGTTACTTTCAGTTGGTGGAGCGCACCAGTCTAGCATGCAAGGAAGCATGAGTAAGAATTAGTGTTGGACATTAGCCTTCACGTCAAACAAGAGTCTGTCCAACGTATGGAAAGCAGACAGATTAACTTCACCAGTCTGTAAAGGTTGTTGAACCCAGGTAGTCTGCACATATGAGCTGTAGTCTAAAGTCCTTAAAGGGGGTTATATAGGGGATTCTATAGGGGACTACTATAGGGCTTATTAAGGGGATACTAGGAGTTTAGACTATAGCTCATATATGTTTTCACCATGGCCGCAGTTTTCAGGCCCGTACTAGGATCCTTTAAAATTCACAGTTGCAATTGATTTATGCATGTTCTTTTCCATCTGATGCTGCATATTGCTGTTTCAACCCAGGACAGGAGCTTGCAACATCTTGGCTGCCTTCCTGCCTTCTGCCCGGATTCTCGGTGAGCATTGGCGGAGTTCTGTCATGAGAATAAGCATCCTCTATCGTCATACCGTGCATTAAATTGTGCTTGTCACAGTTATCACGCAATATGCAATAACTTCTGTTGGGGGTGAGGGCAGCATCCATCCAAAAGACGTCGAACAAAGCCCCTTGAATTTCAACAAGTCGAGAAAACAGTAGTCACTGTCGTTTGACATTAAATACCTCCCGCCCCTATGTCTAACAATTGCACCCCAACCTATAGTGGCTCTTCTAGGGTGGTGTTCTATATCAGGGGGTGGGGAGGGGATGATTTTGAGAATTGCAGGGGACCCCTAACCCCTCGACCTAAAGAACCATCAACATATCTCAAAACAAAACAGCCTTGCGCGCCAACCATTAACCCCAGACTGTGAACCCTTAACCCGAGACCCTAACCCCAACATCCCTAAACCCTAATCCCTTAGACCCTCAAACCCCACCCCTAAACCTTAACCCCTAAACCCTAAACCCTACTCAACCCTTATCCCGGCCAGGCTTAAATCCTGAACCCCTGGCCAGGCTCACGCTGATGTTGGCCCTTTTGTGGGCTTTGAACGGCCTCTTCCAGGCTTGGGATCCCAGAAAGTACCTTTTTGGGGCGGTTGGGGTTTAGGGTGAAGGGTTTGGAGGTTTGGGTTCAGGGTTTTAGGGCTGAGGGGTTTGGGGTTTAGGGTTTAGGGCTTCAGGTTTAGGGTATTTGAAGGAATACGCACAAAATACACCAAAAAGAGAGTAGTAAGAAAGGGTGCGCACAAGGTTTCAGAACTCAAGGGCAGTCTAAGGGCACCTTAAACCCGGACCCCCACACCCTAAACCTGAAACCTTACGCCACAAACCCTTCAACGCAAGACCTTCAGCCCTGAAATCCCGAACCCTAAATCCAAACCTTCAAACCCTACACCCAAAATCCTAAGCCCCAAACCCTCAACCCTCACCCCAAACCCCTGAAGCCAAAAACCCAAAGCCTTAAAGTCTGAACCGCGTGGTCCCAAGCAGGGTCTTGGGAGCCCCTCTTGCGCTCGCGTGATCAATGCCTGGTGTGGCGCGCAGGAGCGCGGCCTGTTCTGGCTCATTGCTGTGGCAATTGAGCAGTATTTTATTTGGGGATACTATGGTACCCAATATAGAGTAAGATTATATCCTCCTTTTGGGTATAGTATTTGATATAAGGAATATAATCTTGCTAGGTTCAACCACCAAGAAACACTACTCAATTGAGTAGTATGTTTTATCGGGTATACTATATAGGCCCGAATATAGGGGCTGTAGAGAACAAGGGTCTAGCGTTTCAGGATGTGGTATTCAAGGTTTAAGGTAACATGTGTAATTAGTGGAGGTATTGAGTCCCCATTCAGAGTAAGATCGCATGCTCTTGCCTGTATAGTTTTTCACACGGTTGAAACACAGCAAAACCTGGCCCTCAGTTACTTTGAGCTTCATCGAGCCAATCTTTGATGAGAGGATAGAACTGTAAGCCGACCAGAAATGACTTAGCTCAGAATTCTCAAGCATGATAAACCCCTAAACCCTAAACCCAAACCCTAAACTCAAACCCTGAACAATCACTCTGTCCCCAGGTCGATCTGGAACTGCTCCAATAACCTGGGCGGAGCCTTGGCGCCTACGATGGTCAGCATTGGCCTTGGCATCTCAGGGCACTGGCGCGGGAGCCTCGTTTGCATTTTCAGGCTCCGGCAGTTTCGATGACATGACTGCCCGGAGTTTCTCCAGACCACCCCTGTAGGATTTGTTGATAGCGACTCTTTAAACTTTAAACCCTAAATACAGTAGGGACCAACCTTAATCCCTTCGTCATCTCTAGAAGTCCCTGGGGACACCCCGGGTACCTCATCTGCAAATCACCATCACTCCTACTAGCCGTGTGGAGCCTTCAAACATACAACTCTTGCCCCCTCTAGAACCTCCAAAGACAACCCCGGTGATCTCCACATATGCCATACAGTACACCTCATATACTTATTCCTATCTAACGTCACCTTGCACTTCTCAGACCCTCCCCAAGCACAAAACCCGGGTGCGTGCAAGGGATCCCTTCTGCATTTTGCGGGTATGGGTTTTCCTATGGTTCGACAAACAGTTCTTGCTAAGCCCTAAACCCTGCAAGCCTGAATCCTAAACCCCCTAGGCAATTAGGACGAAGAATACAAGGAGCCTACTGTTCGCCGGCGTCAGCGCCGTCCCGGCAGCTCTAGCAGTGGCCGCTTTGGTCCGCGAAGCGCCGCCGGGCGGCGAGCCCGAGATCTGGGCCCTTGAGCCCGAGGTGCCGGGATGAGGATTTACCTAAACCCCGGCAAAAGTATGTAAAATAATAGCCCTAAACCTATAATAGCAGCCATAAAGGCCATTATTTTACATGCTTTGGGGGGTCCAGGTAGAAGGAAGGCTTACCCAAAGGCTCCATGTATAGGTACTATTTATAGGGTTTCTAGGTACCCCAGCAGTACCCTTTTACCCTTTTTGTTTTTGGGTCTCCTTATTAAAGCAGAACAGTAGGAAAAAGGGGACCCTTATTGTTTAGGGTTCACTGGGGAACCTGGGTTTAGGGCCCAATGTAGGTATTATTTACATAGTTAGAGCCCAAGGGTTAGGGCTAGGGCATGTCAGGGGTTAGGAGCTTACAGTAGGATGAATGAGTAACCCTGAGTCCTCGTAGTCCAGTGGGCAAACGCCATCATCATTTTCATAATACAGGAGTCCGTAAGGGGGTCTCATGTATGAGGGACACTCCCCAGATCCCTCAAGGCTTCGCAGTAAGTGGTCTCTGATACGGAGTCCTGACAGTGCTTCCTTTTGCTGATACTTACACAAGGAGCTTCAAATCAAAACTGAACAGGTATGCGCAGCGTGGGGGCAAAAAAAGTTCGTGAATTTGGTGATACGGCTGTCGGGAGCGAAGAGAGGGCCAAACACAGGGGTTGCTCACAGAGTTTATGGAAGTCCTCAAAAAAGGTATACATTCTGGAGACCATATCTCATGCAAAAGCTACAAACCCTAAACCCTATTGTAAATGATTTCTAAACCCTAAAACCTACACCCTAAACCCTAAACCCTACACCCTATTGTAAATGACTTCCATTGGAGGCCAGGAAGCTGGGAGGCGCGGCGCTTTTTTGGAAAGGTTGCTTGGCGCAGCCGGGCCTTGCCAACCTTGCTTCTGGGTAGCTGTTAACGAACTTAATATAAGCTACTACTTGGGTCATAAGGGTTTAGGGGTTTAGGGGTTTAGGGTTTAGGGTTTAGGGGTTTAGGGGTTTAGGGTTTAGGGTCATTCCCCCTCCCAGTAACTGTCCTTAAAGGGGCCTTATTAAGGGGGTTCTTATAACTCCTATAACTCATTGTGGTAACAGTTACTGTAAGGGGGAATGACCCCAGGTACTACATATACCCGCGGTTTAGGGTGTAGGGTTTAGGGGAAACCCCGTCACTTACCATATATATATATATACCCAGTATGGTGACTTAATTTAAGTTCCTTAACAGCAACCCAGGCTTTGGCTAACTTCTTCATCTTTTGCGTCCGAGCCGCGCTGATGAACCTTTACTTGTCATGTAGTTGGGGATGTAGATTGGCGGTTAAGGGTTATTTGAGTCCACCTTCGGGATCCAATCCTTGATGTTTTTGCTGAAGACTTTTCTCACCGCAAGGTGTCGCTTTAGCCTTTTTCGGCGTAACAATTCAATGTTTTCCTGACAAAGATCCTGTTCTTCCTGAGGTATTAGGGACAAAGCTCCGGCCAAAAAGGGATATGTGTCGAAGTCACGTGGCGACTAGCATCCCTACAATATGACCTCGGGATCATTCTTTGAGTGTTTTGCTGGTGATCTGGCATTGTTGGGGTTACTGGACCCTACAGAACTGTGAGATGTAAGAATACACGTCATGAATGTATGACACTGAAAACGGGGGGTTCTGTACGGTCGCCGAAACACACCGTTGCTGGACGTCGCGTGTTCCAGAAACTGGCAGTTGAGAGTGCCCGTCAGAAAAGTCGCGGAATCTGAGTATGCTCTACCCAGGCCAATTGCAAATTATAGACATCTCAGAACGTACTAAGCTTGTGCGAGTATAGGCCGAACTCTGCATGCTAAACCTTAAGCCGCACATCCTACACCCTAGCAGCTCACACCGTCGTCCCTAAACTCTTGCTATAGGAATCTGTTTCCCTGATACACCCCCACATCCGCCAACACCCATGTTTTGGAAAGCCCCCATGTAACCTTCCACCCGAAATCCCACTCCTAAGCCCCAAGCCCGAAGACCTACATGGTGGGTCAGGCGGGCTAAGTCTGTGTACTTCTAGCCTTTAGAGAAGCCCTGTAAGGGCTATCTCCACCATGAACCTACTTACTACGTTCCCATTGACCTTCCAAGTAGTGATCTATAGAGGTCCCCCCCGAGCTGCATGCAAAGCTCGTGCCTGCAGATCCCTGGAACCTAAGCCCTCACCCATAAACATTAAACCCCGAACGCTAAGCCCTTAAACCCTAAACCCCTAAACCTTCAACCCTAAACCCCTAGCCCCCCAAAACCTTAAACCCTAAACCCCTAAACCCCTAAATGTCAATCCCTGCACAACCGAAAGCAGAGGAATTGGCTCGCCTTTTACCTCTTTGCTGGCTCCTAGGTACCCCAGTAGTACCC